ATTTCAGGCCTTCAACTTTTGCCCACTATGAGAAAAAGTGAATGTTTAGGTTAATGATGCTCTTTGAGACAGTGTGAAGTGCTATTTTGATCTCTTCTTCTCAAATCATGCCACTACTTTCCTGAAAGTTCTGTACGCTAAGCCCAGTCTGTTGAAATGGGTGTGAACTTGCACTTCAATTTAAGTAAAGACATTAATAGATCAAATGCAAACCATACCTTATTTCTTATCTGGATTGTGCTTAGCATTAGTAAAGGATAATAAAAATATCTTAAACTATCTTACAGAGGATCCATGAATGATGGCTCAGAACCTCTCCTTCCAGAACCTAGTTTTGCTTGACTCATACAGTCTCACTCCCCGTTCCACCAACGAAAGTATGCCTGAGCATATTCATGTACAGATGCCAGGAAAGCTGAGTAATGGTCTTCTTTTTGTCAGATATTATGTACCAATTACACAGGCTGTGTGAGGACAGAGAAAAAGGCAATAGAGCGGGCAGAAGGTTCAAGATGAAGCTACATACAACCTTGCAGAAACTATGGCTACCTGAGTTTTCCATTGTCAAGACAGCAGAATCACAGTTTGGAAACGGAAGACATCTATGAGATTCTGTTCATGACTTCAATTTACAGGAAAACGGGCTTTACGGAGGTTTGGTGACTTACTCAAGGTCACATATCTGGACGGTAGCAGAGCTAGGATTAGAATCTGAGTCTCTTAGTTCCAAGACCTCTTTCAATTATACCACACAACATCTTTACTCCTGTAATAGTAAAAACTTAAAAATAAACTACTTGGATGACAATCTTTCTAAACTGTTTACACAATTCCTATTTTTATATACAGAGTATAACTATTATTGAACCTTTTCTCTGTGAATCAAAATTACCATTATGAAGATCAATGATGTCAACTCTATAATACAGAGTCTGTAAATGCTATGTGACAGAGTATAGTGAAACAATGGAGATACGATAACTGTTTTTTACACCTTTCTAGGGGTTTACCCTTTGCTCTTATTCCCTGCTGCTGTCAGTGTCTCTGCTGAAGGTGTCAGCCCCTTCCCCACCTCCTAATTCTAATTCTAAACTCTATTCCTTAGAGTAATACGAAATGCAAATGCCCGCCGTATTCAGTGCAGCATTATTCATAACCGCAAAAACAAAACCATAAATGTACAACACAGAAGAATGTTCCATAAGCAGTATTTTCAAAGAATAGAATATTATGCAGCCATTAAAATTATCTTCAAATAAAGAGGTTTTAATAAAATGAGGAAATGTTTATGTAATAACGTTAAGTGAAGAAAGCAGAATGTAGAACTGCAAGACATCAACCACATTTCAAAAATTCTTAGAATGAAATATACAAAAATGTTTACAATGGTAGGATTATTGATAATTATTATTCTATTATACCCTTCTACTTATTTCTATATATTTCTGAAATAAAAGTGTAACACTCTGAAAGTCAGAAAAAGAATTTTAAAAAAGAAACTATCACATTGGAAAATACAACCTAACTGGTCAGAACAATATAAAATAAAAATATATAGATTCGAGGTGAGAATCTAAAGCCTCTGTTGTACAGGCTTGTCCACAAACTCTGGGACACGGTATGGCTGCACGTGGTTCTTGCTTACTTTCCATTTCTTTGCTGAATTTCAGGTATGTCAGGTTGCTGGACAGCTGAACTGTGGATGAGTAAAGCATCAAGGTATGTAGATATGTAAAGGAGAAGAGAGGACGCTGAGAGGGAAAGAGAGAGAAAGAGAAGGGAGGGAGAAAGATTCTGAGCCAATCCTTTTAGACAAGTGTCTAAATATTTTTTTCATTAATTGGTTTTCAGTAGTTTAGAAGCCACAGATGGTGTAACTGTCATTAAGTCACTCAGGCTGATTTATCAGTAGATGAGCATTAGAGACAAATTAACCTCTCTAGAGAGTGAAACATCTTCCAATTAACAGCTAACTACTTCCCAAAACTGGGAGAGCTGAATTAGGAATGTGGGGAAGTCAAAACTGGGATAGCACGGAAAGAAGCTAAGCCAGTCTAAGCAAGTGAGTGTCTTACATCTGAAGGTATTGGATACTATCACTAATAATCTATCCTGATTCCTTGGTATTACAATGAAATATTTTTCCTTTAAGTAGTAACATCTTTTCATATTTTCCCCTTTCCCTGAAAAAAAATCATTAATATACAGTAATGGAGGAGGAGAGAGCGACCTTTAGATTTTACAACACGCAGTGACATTCTTTTATTTTATTCATATATACACGCAGCCCCCACCAAATGTGTCACCTCACGCAGGAATGACCAAGGGCAAACAGAGCCCAGAGTGGGTGATTTAATAGATGTTGCTTGACTTGTCAAAGCTTCTGAAGATCATTTTTTAAAATTTCCCTCTGCCTCTCCAAACACTATATGCCAAGACAACACTCCAAGAGTCTTTAAATTTGTCTAGAACAGACAAGATCCAAGTCTACTGTCCTTCAGCATGATCAGCATCTGCAATAGGATTTCTAAGAACTTCCCCCAATATGCTATATTTTATTATCATAATAATCCTGTGGGACATCATTAGCCCAGCTTCACAGATGAAGAAACAGAGACCCTAAGAGATTAATTTGCTAAAGATCACACCAATATTAAGCTACAGGAAAGACCTGGAATTTAGATCCTCCAACACTCAACCCTGCACTTATTTCCACCGTTTCCTGCTGCAGTTTACTGTCAGATAACTGTGTGCAAAGTATTGGCCCCTAAAGGCCGTGCACAAGTGTTCCTCTGAGGACCAGCACCTGCTCAGCCACAGTGCAGGTGAGCAGAAAATGACTCCGAAGAAGGAGAATGGGGTGGCGGGAGGCTGCGGCTGATGTTCACTCCCACCCCTTCATCCACACAGACAGCGTCTCTCTTCTCTCCACAAACCCACGCTCCTCATCTGTCCTGCAGGGGTTAAACTCATGCCCTCCCCTAAAGAATCCACCGAAAACCTGAGCCACTTTCACTCCTCCTTTACCCCACACCCGCTCAGCTTCTCTTTAGAATCTTGTAGATATTACAAAGTGTATTTATTCTCTGATTCCTCAGGAGTTTTTCTCTAGAAGTCATACATCTATGTTTTAGTTCCCCAGCTGGACTTTAAAGAAAATCGATGTTTTCCACATTTCAGATTTTCCCCACCTTTTGAACACTCCTCTTTCTCCCAACTGCCTGGTATATGGCTCTGCGTCCAACACACACCTGCTGAGTGAGTGAGAATCTAGTGTGGTGGAGCCCAGGCCGGCTGGTAATTAGGAGGTTGGAGCTCCAGCTCTACAACTAAGCAACTGTGTTACTGTAGACAAGTCTGCGGGTCCCAGTTCTTTCCCCACAGAGTGGTTATAGGGATTGGAAGTGGGGGGCTATACGAGTTCTACAATCTCTAAAATGCTATGAATATTTAATTATTATCTTGATTGGGCTGATCATAGCCTTACTTTATTCCATTAGGGATGAGAGAGGAGACGAATGTGAATCCCGCAGTCAAGAATGTTAAAAACAAGATAAATACAGAGACCAAATAACTAACCACCCAACAGGCAGAAGAAAGCCAATGTGTCTGGAAAATTCATAAAGCAAAGGAGGATCAGAAGGAGTAGAGATGTCCTGGGCAAGGCTAGAAATGTGGATCCTGCCTGAGAGAGCTGTAAAAGGGTCAGAGGGTGGAACGTAAATGAGAACAGCTTACCAACTAGAAAAATTGCATTAGTGGTTAGGCATATGTAGCATAATGTTTTGTTTTGTTTTTTTAATTTGCTCTTCTGTTTGCTATTTAAGCTTGAAATGAAATGTTAAGAATATCAGCATTGAGACTGATTAGATCATAATGAAGAAAATAAGATGCATACTAACAACTTTCTTGTGGAAATAAAAACAGAAGCTCCTGGTATTGAAATATGGATTAATGCTACCAACATTTGACCATCAGAAATATATTTTCCTGTACTTTTTTCTCTATTTTGGGGGTTGGGGGAGAGGAGGTATGACAATTTTAATCAGGGTATTGCTCCAGAGTAAGTTTAATTTCATTAAAGATTTTAGGGGCCAACCCCATGGCCGAGTGGTTAAGTTCACGCGCTCCGCTTCAGCTGCCCAGGGTTTCACCGGTTTGGACCTTGGGCATGGACATGGCACCACTCATCAAGCCACGCTGAGGCAGCATCCCACATAGCACAAGTGGAAGGACCCACAACTAAAAATACACAACCATGTACTGGGGGCTTTGGGGAGAAAAAGGAAAAATAAAATCTTTTTTTAAAAAAAAGGATTTTAATAATTCCAAGTAATACGGCACTGGTTTCATTAAAACTGAGTGTTAGTTGACAGACTATGTAATAGATTAAAATGGTGTTATAAGGAGGTCTGTCCATGCCTTCATTAATAAGTCCCTTGGATGGAATGAACTTATGGCAGGTAGTGAACCAAAGTCTGGTAGTCTGGCAGTGTGGTATTAGGGGCTAGGATTCATCTAAGGAGCTAAAAGAAAGTCAAGTTCAGCTTGAAACTTCAAGAAAAAAATAGTTCCTCTTGAGGAAAGAAAATCTTTGGAATTAAAAAAATAATACTTGAAGCAAGTAACAGTTATTAGATTATCGGATGTAAGAGTTTTCAGCTGGAATTCAAAATTGAAGTGACACTTTAAAAGATTAAATCAATGGGAGTACATGGTTGATAAAGGGCCCGAAAAATCCCATTTTAAAAAGATCAAAAATTTAAAGGGGATTTGATATTTAAGGGCCATTTTTAGGAATCTCCTGATGAAATATCTGATACTAAAACTGCAGAGAAGAAACTTACTGTTTATATGACCTTGAATCCAGAGTGCCCTTCATCTTCTACCTCAGAAAAGGGCCTTTAACCAAGGTCTAGGAAGAAATTTGTGCAGGGGAAAAAAGTTGTGTGTGTGTGTGCACGCGCCCGCACATGCATGTGTATTAAAGGCAAACATACCTGCTTCGTCATAGGATACAGTCAATTTTTCTAGCATTTCTCGGTCAATTGACAGAATCTGCTGTTCAAGGATGGTCTGGTAAGACAATACGCTATTTTCTTTGTCTTTCTCATAGTCCTGAAGATGCTGTTTAAGGGCCTCTGGGAGTCGAGATTTTACATATTCAGCTGCAGTCTGCAGATAAAACAGACAGAGAACCCCATTAGAATTTCTCATCTTAGGCTTTTCACTTCCCCTCAGGTGCTGTAGTGAGAACTCAAAGCACTGTGGAGCCGACCCTCCAGACAAGCATATCCTTGTCATTGTCATTTTTAGACTCCACTATGCCAAATAAGGTGGATCCTCAAATAGAATCACAGACGTCTAAGAGTTTTCTATCAGGTTTAAAGGTATAAAAGACGATGGATTCGGTTTGGCATTCTACAGAGTTAGGACTCAGAGTTTCAACTATTCTAGTGAACACTGAAGGCCCCGTGGCACTAATTTTACTGGATATAAATCTGACCTGCCCTTGTCTAGAATGCAGAAACCCGTCACTCACCTCAGCAGTGCACCCACCCATGCTATGGCACCCCCATGCCTGCTTTGCCTTGTTGTTCTCCACTCATTAATGTGTACACGGGAACTCTTGTGAAGTGAAGAGAAAGAAGAGGCTCTTTGGTAGGGCTAATAATGGAATAATGGGATAAATGGAAATGACGAAATCTAAGACAATGATAGCCCTTAACCTGAAAAAAGAACTGTTTGCTACTTAAATGTCTTGGCCTTTATAAATATCACTCATTTTTTTCCTGCTTCCATACTATCTGCGCAACAGACTCCCAGCTAGTACCATGTGAAAGTGCAAGCAGTGACTTTCACCCAGGCAAGCATGCTGCCCTCAGAGGCAGGAAGGAAGGCATGTCTACTTTGAAAAAGACCTTCCCAAAGACTCTGATATGCTCTTCTGGTGGGCTGGGAAGAGAGCAACCTCTTCTCCCTCCCAGTTGAGAATCACAGTTAAAGTTAAATAGAACTTCAAGGGAGAAATTAACTGATAGAGTGGCATGTGCAGATTAGGGGAATTTCGAAATTCTTAAAACGTCTCTCTTGAGAATGCCCAGAGTGGGGCATCTCATTGCAGTGCAGTCCTGGACCACATGCATAGGGTCTAAAGTGGGAAAACAACAAACGAAGGCGCACACATATTGTTTAAAATTATACTCACAACCACTAGAAAACACAAATAAAAGAAACTGTTAAAAAGGAGTGTCTCTGGGGTATGAGCCTAGAATATGGTGAAGACCCATCTACATAGTTTAATATATTTTTTAAAAAACCCTGTACAGCTATTAATTGTATAACTTAAGACAAGTTTGAGTTAAACAGACACAAAATATATATCCAGCATATGCTCATCAACAGGAGCTCAGTTTTTTTCGTTTATAGACTGGTATACTCTAAAGCCTTTGGAAAAAATGAGATAGGTCTTTATGATCTGACAAGGAAAAATGTCATGATCTATTGTTAAGATTAAAAAATGAAGCTGCACAATACCAGTGATAGTATATCTTTTTTATGTAATGCATGCGTATATGTATATACTGCATTTTGTATTATCATATACACATGGGAAAAGATATGGAAGGATATACTCCAGTTGTGGAAAATACTCACTTTCTATTTTCCACATTTCTGTATTATTTTAAACTTCTCATTATTTCAACTTTTAAAAATTATCTTTAAAATTTTGGGGGGGGTAACTTTCATAGTTTTCCTTTCAAACGTTAGCAAAATTTAGGATGCAAAGAAACTTGCCAGAACAAGGACAACTGACTTTCCAGGAAAAGCGGTGGGCAAAGTTCTATTTCAGTCTTCAGAGTAGCCAAATACAGCACATGACACTTTTTGTTTCCAGATTTATATTTAGATTCCCTAAGTCAGCTGCTGATGAAACTACAACTTTTAAATACAACCAACATTGTTCAATTTCTCTGCCAGCCAGCAAGTGCAGAACAAATAAAATTATTCCATAAAATGTAAATGGATTCAGCACATTAGCACAACATATTTAATTCTAGAGTTTCAGAACAAATTTTCTCCCGACACTGGAAAACGAAGAGGCATACTGCAGAATAACTGTTTTTAAACTCATACTACACCTTGCTATTCAGTGTAAGACGTCTTTAATTTTTTTCCTTGGAAAAAACTATGGGGTTCAGGGAATAATTCTGTAACGCGCATTTTGCCAGTACCCGTATCACTGAAGGCATACCACAGATTCCCTTCCAGTCATGCCCACTGATTGTATTTGAAACGGACATTACTTTTCTAATTAAAATCATAATATAGTTTTTGAATAGGGCCTATATTTTTTACTATATTGGAGTTATATTTTGGCATTTCAGTTCGAAAACAGTCTGTTCTTAAGAGGAACAGAAAGAAACAACTCTAGCCAAATACTAGATTCTGTCAATATATTTCAAGAAGTCACCTTTATACTGAGGTAGTACTCCAAATGTACTCAGATGGCAGATAAACCTTAGGTTCAAGCAGGAACTATGTTAAAAAGAAGGCTGAAATATTATTAACTGAGATTGGAATTATTCCACAAGTAATAAACAATACAAAGAGCAATTTAAAGAATTTCACTGGAATTCTAAAAATGAAGTGAAAAACAAAATTAAAATATAGGATTACTTATTTATTCTTTAATCTATGATAAATGCTACTTGGAGTTTAAATCCTAAATTGCATATTCTCATTACCTAACTGTGCCAGAAACAATATTATTGTTACCGATATTAGTATGTTGCATTGTGTAGTAATTTATACTTTTTGGAGTAATTTATGATATCATTCTGTATCTTCACAGATACAGCTTCTTCTTATCTGTTATCAATCTGTATCTTTGAGTGAAAGTAGACAAATTATTGATTTTGGCTAATCCTTCACATCCTTCAAAGTTCAGCTCAAACGCTATAAACACCGATAGTGAACACACCTAATAGCACCCAACAGTCTTTCAAGTATTTATATAGGTCTTCGTATAGGTATAGGTATTTTAGCTCTCCAGTTTGGCTGAGATAAGGACTGTATTTTACACATTCTTGTGTTCCCCCCTCAGCATCTGGTTCAGCGTTTTGCACCATAGAAGCTTAATATCTTGACTGTATCCAAGAATCAGAGACTTTGAGATAGCTGTTGGAGAAAGCTTTCTGACTATTCATAATTCTTTGCCTGCAATAAGAACCTCCTTTCATGATTCCAGATACAGCATAAGAGTCTGGTTTTCTACTGGCGAATGGAACTACACTTGGTCTTTTTTTCCTTCTCCCCAAAGCCCCCCAGCACATAGTTGTGTATTCTAGTTGTGAGTGCCTCTGGTTGTGCTATGTGGGACGCTGCCTCAGCATGGCCTGATGAGCAGTGCCATGTCCGCACCCGGGATCCGAACCAGTGAAACCCCAGGCCGCCGAAGCAGAGTGCGAGAACCCAACACTCGGCCACAGGGCAGGCCCCTACACTTCACCTTTAATTATTATTGATGCCATTATTTTAGGAAAGTAAACAGCTGAAACCCAAATCATCATTCAGATGCAAAAATGATAAATTATGTACTTGACACATACAAAGCTGTATATGAAGCTTTAATGCTTTCCTCTCCATAACTGTTTGATCGTCCCCATTGTTGCCTTTATTTCTTCATTTGGCAATGCGCTTGATTCTCCTAGAGGCCCCCTGAGGAGTCATGTAGAATGTACCTCAGAATTGTGCCCCTGAGTTAAGAGTTGTCTTGTGGGGTGCTAACTCTGCCTGCACATTCAGGTTTGTGCTCATCTGACCTGCTGAGTAGGTTCCCAAACACAGCCTGGCAGTAATAGAGGAGACTCAGGGCAGAAAGCGGAAGCTGCATAGTTCACAGGTTCTTCCGGTTGTACCTGAAACGACAGTTACCAGCTGGAATAAACAGCTTGTGAGGCAGGGCACAAAGGGTGCCCAATGCACCTTCTTACAGAATTTGCATCCATTTTTATTACCCATGCCAACCTCAGTCTGGAGGACAGTGAAGGGCTAGAGTAGATCCTGCAAAAAAGTACTCAATGGATGAAAAGGACAGAAGAAAACAGGTGGAACGATCAAGAATCTAGATTCTGGGAACCTAGTAGGTAGAAGGCTGATACTAGTCATTATGCTAAAAAACGATTTGCTATCGCAATGGTACGTTCTTTGAGAAATAATCAACATATATGAAAGAATTTGGCAGGGGGAGGAGGAGTGTATTTTAAAAGGTGCTAAATGGTTCACAACTCATCTTAGAAAGAAAACCTGTCCGCCAGCCAATTCCAATTTATTGAGTGTCTGTGAGCACAGCACACTAGACTCGACAGTGTTGGGAGAACAAACCTCTGCCACGAAGGGACCTGCAATATAACGTAGACACCGAACCCACACGTGCAGTACTGGAAAACACATCTGACAAGGCAATACAACAATGGGCATGAATCTTGAGAGGAATTAACACATTTACTTAAATATAAGAGCTATGTTAAGTGCTGAGCAGCCTCTGAGGAGAGAAATTAAGGAGAGGGAACAAGAAAAACAGTCAGGAAATCATTCCAGTGGCATTTACAGATCAGTTCTGACGTAGGAAGCACTTACTGGACAAAAGAAAAGCAATCCAGAAAGCAGCGAATATGAGTTCATAGGAGAAATAAGAAGAAGTGAAGCTGATAAAACTAGGAATATGCGAGAGCTGGCAGCTGGGGAAGTTAACTGCCTTTAACAGGTTTAACACCAGGAGTCTGGATTGGCAGCAGTTCGTAACAGGAAACCACTAAACATCTTAAAAAGGGAAATCAATGATCAAATCTTGTTTGAGGAAGAATGTGCCTGGAGCTGAGTTTAAAAGGCTCTAAAATAGAATGAGATAGAAGGAGGGAGACAAGTAACACATCTGAAGGAAAGGAAAACTGGCCTTCTATACTGTGATGGCAGTATAAATCGAACAATCGTTTTGGACAGAAAATGAAAAAGATGTAACAAAAACTTTAAAACAGTTACGCCTTTTACCTAGCAATCTTTCTAGGAATTTATTTTAAGAAAAACGTTAAAGATGAGCATAAAGACTTGTGTGCAAACATGTTGATCAAAGTATTATTCACGATAATGAAAATCTGTCTAGAAATTGATTAAATTATGAGATAGCCATGCAATGCAATACAATGCAGCTATTAAAAATCATGTTATGAAAGAATACTAAATTATGGGAAAATGTCCATAATGAAAAGCAGATTGCAAAATAGTTTGAATACTACATGTATGAGAAAAAAACTGGCTGAATCATATTAATATGTATCATTAGTTATCTCAGAGTAAAGAGTTTGGGTGGGTGATAATTTTTTTCTCCATGTGGTTTTTTGCATTTTCCAAGTTTTCTAAAATAAAAATAACAGAAAAGCGATTGCCCACTTTCTATGTGCTGGGTACTGTGCTGAATGCTTTATGTTTATTGTACGTTTGTTTATGTAATCCTCCCAACAACCATAATGGGTTTTTACAGATGAAGAGACAGTTAAGTAACTTACCCTTGGTTATGCAGTGAGTGGTGGAGCAGAAAATGCCAACAGCTTTTGAAACAGAAAAGAAAAAGAAAGGGAAAACCCACAATTTTTTAAAAAGAAAGAGACGCATGCTGTGGTCACTCACTTGTAAGGTAAAGCAGCGCAGGGCGGATAGCGCCCTTGAGAAGAGAACAGATGAGCACATGAGCAAAGCCTGGTGACAGCTGGGAAAGAAGAACAGTCAAATGGCTTCCATGTTGCAAAACCAGAAGCTAAAGATGACAGTGGTGCTATTGAGAGTAAGGGGAAAATGCAGTACGGTGCAACATAATGTATTAAATTTACTTTTGAACATTTACTGTAAGCCTGAAAACTATCCACCTCTCTGTATTTTATGGAATACTCACCACCACCCCTCAAAAAAGAAAAACCTACATGAGAAAACTTATTTCATAGAACTCCAAAGAAAAATACCAGACTAATGATTTTGGTTACAAGTTCCAGGGAGGCAAAAGTTATTTTCAAGAAAACATATTAAGAGATACTGAATTAAATTCTAATACAGCCTCCATTAGAGAAAGATCGCAAGTAAATTAGACCTATGTTCAAATAACTTTTATTATTTTTTCTCTGGGAATTCACAAAAATCAAGTTACTATTCATTTTGAACTTTAATATGCTTAAAGTAAAAACAGGCTTCTGATGTCCTTAACCATGAAAATATGCCTTATAATTTTTATTTAATACTGTATATTTCATCGTTGCAGGAGTTTTTTATTTTTTGCCCCCTCCTTTTAAATCAAATGTTCACTTTTATTACCAATTCTAAGACTTAGTCTATAGTATGTAATTTTATACATAGAAGTTTTAGCTATAATATTCAAAAGAAAGCAAGCTTTCCCTATATTCAATAAATTCTTACTTAGAAGGTATTTTTAAAATCAAGGAATGGATTTTATCACTTAAGTTTGTAATGAGTTATGTTATAAATGTTGGTCCTGACACAATTTCAAAGCAACTTTGAAAAACCAACAGATGAGATTCTAAGATTACAAAACTAGGAAATGCATCTTCAGAAAAAATACCCACTTTTGCCTCAAGGATAGTCTAGAGTGTGCTTTGCCAAGATAAAAGTAAGTTTCAGAATTTTAATATCTTTCAAATTCTCTGATTTTATAAATAACCCTTCCTCTTCATTTTATTTAACACAGACGCGCGCGCATGTGTGCGCACGCACGCACACACACGCAGAATAATGTGGCAGAGAGAAATCCTCAAAATCCTCAAGCTCCTTGAAATGAATGGGACAGAGAACTGCTGGCTGCGCCTTTCACTTTATACTTACACCAACCACACAGACGCCTGAGTTGGAACACAGTGCTACTGCTTCGGATCTGAGTGTTGGTTGTGAACGGACACAGGCTTCTAAACTGGATCGAAAGGTGCCTAAAGCAAAGGGGTTGATCCTCAGACCTGTGTCAATGGCAGAGTTGGCACTGATCTCACAATAAGGGGCTGGATCTGGCTCCAAGGTCCTGTCAGGGACCCTCTGGGTGAGCAGCAGACTCTGGCACCGAGGAAGACATACAGGGCAGCTAGGATGGGAAATCAATTCTGCAAATCCTGCGTAGGAAAAGAGCTGAATTTTGGGAAATGGTAGCTCAGGGATGATTGCTAGGTATTCATGAGATAAAGGAGATCCTTCAAAATTTGTGCCACAGGAAGAGAGAAGAGAGAAGGAAGTCATATTTTTACTGCAGACAAGGTTTCCCTGCCCTTGAAGGGAGTGACTGTGCAGGTGCTGATCAGGTAGCAGCCGGCACAGACCAAATGGTAACTTCCCGAGGTCCACCTTGGAGTCCATCTTTCTTACAGTAACATGTCATTAACTTCTGACACATGTTCTTTGGCTCCAGGCACTTTAAAGGAAAGTCCGAGTGAGTGCCCTTGCCCACCAGGCAGAGGACACATGGCCAGAGAGTTGTTCCTCTCTCATGCCTGCCAAGAGCATCATTTCTTGCTATTTTCAGTCCTTGACACTTCTAACCTGGAGGGGCTATTTAAATAAGAAAAGCATCTTTCAGAGGACCATCTTGCAGTCCTGAATTCATAATTCTGCCTCAAGAAAGCAAATTTGATTCCTTCAAGAGGGACAGCAACAGGAGAAAGTCCCAGGCCTAAACCTGAAATACAGAAATGAAATCCTATGCTTCTTCTGGAGATTTGAGATTCCTCTGAAGAACCAAAGCTGTGGACATGCAGATGCTATCAGTCATGCGGCAAAACAACCGCCACAGAGAGCCTAACACCCAGCATGCAAGGAACTTGAAATCATATATCCTGCTTAATATGGAGCCTGAAGTTTTCATTTAGTTTAAACATTAAGGTGACAACTGCCAAGTTATGGGTTATTCAGGAAAATTTCTCTGGGGTTCCTCAAATAACAAACCCTTAGTAACTTTATCAGTAATCTGATCAATATTTAATCAGAGGCCATATTCACATGGTAGCACCAACCCAGTCACAGTGTGAAAACAGAACTCAAACTCCAACGCCTGAATGATGGCTTCCCAGGCTGCAGACGGTTGCTTTCTATACATAAAAACTAACTTACCTCCATTGTCTATACCTCCATTGTCTAGATCCCTACTCTCTAATCCCAGTGACATATAATTAGCCAAGGTATCAAATGCTGTTTACCCATGTGGTCTGTTTTCCTAATCTTATTATTTTGGTCAAATCTACATTCAAATTCTAAGGGATTGAAACATACATCTGTTTACAATCTGAAGAAAAGCTGAAGTTATTTCCCCACTAAGAAACTGATGATTAATGAATTCTTTGCCCCTCAGTGACCACACATATTCCAGAGAATCAGGGGGAAAAGGCTATACTAGTTCCATGGTCCTCCTTTTAATTTTTTTTTTTTCCTGAGGAAGATTAGCCCTGAGCTAATATCTGTGCCAGTCTTCCTCAACTTTATTTATGGGTCACCACCACAGCGTGGCTGACAAGCAGTGTAGATCTGCACTGGGATCTAAATCCAGAAACCTGGGCCGATGAAGTGGAGCACACTGAACTGATCTATGCCAGAGGGCCAGCCCCATAATTTTTATTTTTATTTTGTTGTTGTTGTTGAGGAAGATTGGCCCTGAGCTAATAACATCTGTTGCCAATCTTCTTCCTTTTGCTTGAGAAAGATTGTTGCTGAGGTAACATCCGTGCCCATCTTCCTGTTTTGTATGTGGGATGCTGCGACAGCATGGCTTGATGAGCAGTATATATGTCTGTGCCCAGGATTGGAACTTGCAAACTGCAAACCTTGGGCTACAGAAGCAGAGTGTGTGAATTTAACCACTATGCCACCAGGCCAACCCCCCCATAATTTTTTTCTTTTTTATCATAAATCTGTTGAGAAAACAAGTAGCACTCAGTCAAAACAGGCTTGTTAAATTTCTGTGAAAGGTAAGTTCCTATTTTGTCAACAGTTATAGAAGGAAGAAATTGTTTCACATTCTATATGCTTGAGCTCTACAGAAGAAAAATGTGAGGTAATATTTGTTTACAGACAGAAAAATGTTTCATATTTCTAGGAAATTATGGTTAATTACTGATAGAATTTCCTTCCATTTCTGAATCTTGGGCAATAAAGCTTGGGGGAAATATTAACTTCCCTAAGTGCTATCCAAATGTGTTCTAGAAGATTCCATACAGAATGCTAACTGAAAACGCCCTGGAGGATTCAGGGAGCTAATGGGACCAACTGTCATAAATGAATTATAAAACACTCATGTGTCACTAACCAAAAAGAACTCTACAGCCATGACAATAGAGCAGTGCCCTCAGGGAGGCAGCCAAAACAGAGTCAGACAAAATGTTTCTTGGCTACCAATACAGCCAGAGAAGCCCTCTTGGGCCTCACTTGGGTTCTGCTCCACAGTTACCCATCAGCCTATTTAGGGAGCACCTCCAGAGAGCAGGTGTGGCCACGGTGGCAGGGAAGCTGAAAGCCAGTGCCAGTTGGGCTGACGTCCCCAGCCTCACAGGCCTTTAAGAAGTGTCTTCAAAACGAGCATTGGATTTAGGCTGCTGTCTGTGCGGCGGGGGTGTGGAGAAGGGTCCATCTTTCTGTCCAGGAACCTGGTAACTGTCTTATGTAATGTGATTTGAGTAACCCAAAATGGATCCCTGCTCCAAATCATTTTCCCTGTTGGCTTTCTTTGATCTCCAAAATTCAGTCATTACAGCTTTCAACCTCTAGTTTATGCTATTCCTTCCCCTATCAAAAGCAGATGTTTTATGGGGCTGGCCTGGTGGTGTAGCGGTTAACTTCAGCAGCCCTGGCTTCATGGGTGTGGATCCTGGGTGTGGACCTACACATCGCTCATCAAGCCATTCTGTGGCAGAGTCCCACATACAAAATAGAGGAAGATTGGCACAGATGTTAGCTCAGGGCCAATCTTCCTCACCAAAAACAAACAAAAAACACCCAGATAGTATGGACGAGTTGCCGAGATGTTTATACACAGGAAAGTGGAATAAGCAGCAGCAGAGCACCCAGAGAACTTCTTGGGAGTGAGGTATAAAGGGGAAAGTGTAGGCCAGGAAAGGCAGACGCTGCCTACTCTGAAATGTAACCGTCTGTAGAGGAAAACACCAAGGTCAGTACTGCTTTAAGGTTTCATTTACTCTTCTCCATCTCCGGCTCTACCTGCAAGACCTATGATCAAAATTTTTTTGAGGCTAACCTGACAAAGAAAACAATTTGTTGCATCTCACATAGGGGTAATAAAAGATGCATTCAGTAGCATCTATTGTATGCACATAGTTTTAAAACTTCTGTACAAACAGCAGTCACCACTTGGCTTGCAAAAGCAGTCTTCTCCAGAGCAAAAGCTCCTGCTCCCTCACCTGGGCTGCCACCGCACTGTCCTTTGTCGAGACCGCTACTCCAGCTCTCAGTCACTTCATAATGCCTCCATCTGGTCACGTCTTTGCCTCCTCACTAGTTCACAAGTAACTAGCCAGTAGAACAAAAGCTTTTCCCCATCCACGGTCCTCCCTAACACTTAGCCCAGGGTAGGCAGGCTGGAAGAAAAGGATGGGCAAGGGTCTGTAAAATGAGGCTTATTACTCCGTGAGCAATAATTCTACATGACACAAACTAAAAGACCAAAAGCCCAGGCCCACTGTGTTTCTTCCCATCCCTCTGACCTTGGCCACTCTTCTGCCATATGGCATAAAAATGCCATGCCGTCTTCTACTTCTCGAGCACGAGTCTTGTTTAATACCACAAGGAGGAGGACTGCCGGTCTGGGCAGGGCCAGAGCAAGCTGTATCCCAAACTAAGAAACTAAGAAACTAAGAAAGTTTCCTACTATTTTTGTGTAATTTTGAACCTAAATGAAAATCTGAGAGCAATGGATTTTCTTCTCAGAAACACGTGCACACATACACAGTATCTAGTGTCCCATTTTAGGAACCCAGCTATGAAGTTCAGGAACAGCGGCCTCATTAGATCCACGCATGGGAGGGACCCTAGGAACAAGGCCAATTTAGTTCTCCCTACAAAATGAGGTGGTGGAGCGCATCAGCGTTTCTCAAGGGTGGTGATTCCAACCAACTGCTTCTGAATCACCTGGGGTGGGGGCAGGGGATATCTTCTTAAAATTGTAGAATATGGGGCCTGCTCCATGGACTCTGGAATCTGTTTTAGTTTGTGCTGTATTTTAACAGGCTCACGAAAAGGGTGAAGCCCCCCAGTTTCCACCCCCTAGAGTTCTGATTTTACATGGTCTAGGCACGTGTATTTTTACAAAGCTATACAATGGAGTCTTTGTACATCCCGAGTTCTACCAGACCCCCCACAATAACAGCCATTCTGCATCCCCGGGACTCAGTTTGGAAAGCAAATGTTTTTAATTCTTGTAAAAACCTTGAGTGTATGCAGTGACATTCCCATGTGCCTACCCTCAATGCCACAGGCTTTTTTGATCGTATAGAATTGCCAATCTGCTCGGCCTCTGAAAGGCGGACCCCTTCCCTGAAGCAAGCTCCCTGACCTTGAGTACTTCTGCTGCCAGGAGCACCTGGAACCCTTTTCCAACAGCTTGTGGGCAATCAAGCAAGTCTCAGCAAGCTGTGTGAAACAGGGCTCAGTGACCTGTGGCAAAGCACCTTGAAAGCAAGGCGATTTCCTCTTGACCATGCCCAGGCACGGTCAGAACACTGACCTGCCCTCTGCCGGGGACTGCCAGTGGAATTTTGAAGCCCAGTGAGCTGCAGCAAAATGCAGCAGAAAGGAAAGCCAATCGGCATCACCAGCAGCGTTGCATAACTTTGCATACGGAGTTTGAAAGCGTATCTTATTTTAGTAAGAGGAAAATGGGATACCTAACTGGGTGGAAAAGCTATAATTTCAGCAGCGAATGCACCTGCTTGTGTACATATAAGATGATATATTTTAAAATATGAATGGGCAAACAGTTCATGGGCCTTACAGGGAAAAATACATCCTTTCCCAAGTCCTGCTTCGGCTCCAAAAGACAACACGTGGATGGGCACGGGCTAGAACATCCTTTCAGTCAATATTTACTGAGTGCCTACTACATGGCAGGCACTGTGCTAGGTGCCAGAAATAAATGGCGGGCAAAAGTCGACATGTCTCTGCTCTCATGGTGCTTATGATCTATATGCTATATATATATATAGATAGATATAGATATAGATATATAGATATATGCAGAAGTGCTTTAAGGAGAGGAAGAGGTTCTTTGAGGGGATGTAACAAGAGAACCTAAACAGCCTGGTGGGGAGAAGGGAGGCTTCCTTGAGACAGAGCCACTTGAGCTGAGGTCTAAAACACCATCAGGAGGCTCA